ACTATCATATAACAAATTTAACTTGTCAAGTTTAAACTCTACATTTTAAAATGTGGGTGCCAGAGCGACTGTATCCGTTTTCCCCAAGAACCGATATCTCAATGTTATGTTAAGGTTCTAGTTCCATGTCTACTCGTATCAGAAAAAGTTAACATGGAGATAAAGTGCTCAAAAACACAAATTTGTTTTATCAATACGATCTTTATTTATCGAATCTTTACAGGGTCGCTTGACACACTTTTAGTGATAAATTCTGTTAGTTCCCATAAAAGCTATTCAAGTCACCGACAAAAATTAACATAAAACTGAGATATCAGGCCTGAACGGGTTTCTTTCTACAAAGTTGCCTTTGTTCTTTCTTCCGGTGTGTTTTGTCAGGAAGTGTATTGCTGTCCACAGTCATTATAGAGAGACAGTTTAAAGGTCGATTTTAGAAAGTTTTAACTAGTTCTCAAATTTAAAAAATAAGAAAGAATGATATAGTCGAGTGTCTCGACTATTGGATACTCTTTACTCAGCTAAAGGGAGATGGAGATATGCAAGCAGCAAAGCGTGATTGTAAAGCGCCACCTACCAGCGATTTCAATATATGCTTATGTGGGCAGCAGACAGATTTAAGCGATATGGGAATTTGTGGGTGTGGAAAATCTTTTTAGGTCAATCGATAGATATTTAGGAGAGCAATACATTTCAGATACAATTTTTTTAAGCTTTTATATTGTAGAAGCCACAGTTTTAGCTCTTATAGTTTCTGTAATCACAGCGGGCAGACAAACAAGACTATATCGACTCGTCAAGTGATGCTGTTCAAGAATATATATACTTTATGGAGTCGGAGACGCTTCCTTCTACCCGTTATACCCTTTTTTCCAATTACAATATACCCTTTTACTCTACGAGTAACTGGTATAAATATGTTTTTGCAATTTAAGATCTTTGTATATATTTAAACATTTGTTCTGTGTAGATAATATCGCAGTGTAAATTTCAGACGTGGGCGATTACGTGCTTCAGGATCCAATCCAAGTAGCTACTGATGCGCGTGAACACGGCCGGGAATCCCACCTGGCAGCCCATGGTGGTGCCAAAGGAAGTGGTCCCGATCAGATAGCTGGAGTTGCCCTGCTTGTAGACCAGCGGGCCTCCTGAATCGCCGTGGCAGGTGGACTTGCCACTGGTGGTGCTCATGCAGATCATCTTCTCCGAGACAGCACCGCTCCAGTACATCCGGCACAAAGCGTACGGCATCACGGGCATCTCCACGTACCTCAGAACGGGCGAGACCGTTTCGGAGGCATCACTGTCACGTCCCCAGCCGGAGGCAAAAGCTCGGACGGATTCGTAGGTGGGAAACTGGCCGTTCAAACGACGCGGCAAATTGGCAGCCCTTATCCGATCGTTGAAACTCACAAAGGTGGGCAGGTGGATGAGCGAGATGTCGTTGACCACCGTGCTAGCCGTGTAGTTGGAGTGCACTATAATGCCCGATTTCTGAACCACGATCCTCTTCTGGCCCTCCTCCGCCTCATCGTGGATGTTAATGGCGCCCAAATAGACCGTTACGGATTGCGCTCCATCCATGCAGTGGGCCGCTGTGATTATCCAGTAGTGTGAGATCAAGGTGCCGCCACACCAGGTGCTCCAGTTGCCGTAGGATATGTTCAGACCCGCCTGGTATGGGAATTGACCCACCTCCGCCAGTTCTCCATTGGTAATAAAGGGTTGCACTTCGGACAGGAGGGGATTAGCTGTACAGGAAGCTGCCAACAGGACACAGAGAAAGAGTATCATCATTTTACGTCGATTAGGAATAACTGAGGAAGGGAGACTGCTTCAGGGTTATATAGGAACGGGCTAAGCCCCCAACTATCACTTATCACTGATAAGGACACCCTCGAGCATCAAGCACCCTAGACCAGTGGGATTATTGGTCACAAAAAAAACAATTCACTTCAAAGGAACTCGCAATGAATCACTGCAACTGAAATCAGCACGTGAGAGTAGGGCATTAATGGCCTTGTTAATCTAACCATTTTCAGTTAGCACATGGTACAAACATACTGTTTTACTTAATCGATTGCAAATTCCCCATTTTCAGTTGCTTTGATAACCGTCAATATATATATATTTTACCTTTTTATACGTTTCTTATTGATGTGCGTCTACTGATATGGTTATCTTTTCTTGTAATTCCACTACCCCATTTTAAGTTACTATAGCTTTTGTTGCTTACTTTTCTGCATATGTCTGAAAAATAAAGCTTTTAATATGTGTAGTTTTGAAATATTTTTATTTTCTCTTAACTATTGTTAAAAGTGCCCAATTTTTAATTTCGACCGATAGATCATAAACCTTTTCTGAAACAAGCTCTTCAGACTGAGTGCTCCCATCGGAGTACTTTTCAGCATATCTTCTAAAAAACTAAGCTTTTAATATTAAACATTATTTTAAATAGGGCCAAGCCATAGAAATGTTTTTAAAATTCCCAATTTTAAATTTCGACCGATGGATCATAAAGATATCATGAGGAGTTTTCCCAATCCGGAACAAGCTCTTTTGGCTGAGTGCTCCTATCGGAGGCCCGTGCTAAATGAAAGCAAGACATATGTACTTTCCATTATTTCTGTAATCAAGTGGCGTTCAGATCAGTCCGAAAAGATAATCCATAATCTGGCATTATACCCATTCTTACGTCTTTTAGATTAACCCATTGAGGGGACAATAAATATAAACCCAAATTCAGCGCGTCAGTGGCGCGAGTAGTGGGGTCCGGAAAACATGCAAATCGGAAAGGCATTAGTTTCTCTGCTAATCATTATTCAGGGCAGGTCGATTACCTGCCTGGACCTGGGTCATGGGATCGAAGGGCGAATCACTGGCGGGGAACTAGCCCTGGCTAATCAGTTTCCCTATCAAGTGGGTCTGAGTATTGAGGAGCCCAACGACTTGTTTTGCTGGTGTGGAGCTAGTTTGATCTCTGACCGACATTTGCTAACGGCAGCACATTGTGTTGAAAAGTAACTATTCGATATACTAATTAGAGACTATACTAAGTGACTTTGATACTATTTGCAGGGCTGTGGGTATCACTTACTACTTGGGTGGAGTGCTGCGACTAACACCCCGACAGCTAATCCGAACGATTAGTCCTGAAGTGCACTTGCACCCAGCTTATAATTCCCAAACCCTGGAGAATGACATTGCAGTGCTACGATTACCAGTGGAGGCCAATCTCTGCGATTCTATCAGACCCATCCGACTGCCAGGAATCTCATCCAGCAGTACCAATTACGAGTACCTCCCCGCAATTGCATCAGGTTGGGGCCGCCTAAATGATGGTAAGAACTGGTATATAGTCGTATTTATTTCCCACAAATTAAAATCTAGTATTCTTTTGGTTTTTTCGAATGATAATAATAATAATTATTTAAAAAATGGAAAACTTTTTTATAAAGATGTTATCTTTATAGCACAAAGCATCGCTTTTATGGTAGAACTGTCTGCTATACTATATTAGGAAGTTGCATTATCAATATTTTGAAAGTTATTATATCTAAAAGTAAATATTTTTGACTGGTTGACCTGAAAATTCCTTATATACAGAATCGGCTACTATCTCCGATACCCTCCGCTATGTCGCCCGATTTGTGGAATCCAATGAGGACTGTTGCTACTCTTATGACAACATAAAATCTACCAACATCTGCATGGATACAACCGGAGGAAAATCAACTTGCACCGGAGATTCCGGAGGACCGCTGGTCTACAAGGATCCCCTGCAAAATACAGATGTTCTGATTGGCATTACTTCCTATGGTAAAAAGTCGGGTTGCACTAAGGGATACCCATCGGTTTTCACACGCGTCACCGCCTATTTGGATTGGATAGGTGAGGTGAGCGGGGTTATCTATTCATAAAGTGGCCCTTGATGGCTGATCAAACAGTGCTGGGCACTGTAATTAAATTAAATGTTGAGCATTTGAGTTGCGACTGTTGCTTTCATTTCGGGGGGTGGACGTTGGGGGAATGACACTCAAAAAAAAACGCAGTCTGTTTTATTGGCTAGTATAGATAACAGCTGCTTCCTTTGCCTATGATAAGAATTTTAAATTTGTTGCATAGCATACTTTTTAGTAACTTATAAAAATTGCTATGGCCAACAGGTGGATAGAAAAGGCGTAAGCCTTTAAAAGTAATTCAATGCATAAAAAAATTAAATATAAACATAGGCTGACATGAATCTTTATTTCAAAATATATTTTCGAAAGTCATCACTAACACAAGCCACCAAAATGTTCCTAACCAAATCAAAATCAAGGGAACTCCGAAAGACTAAAAATAAATATTATTTTCTGGTTTAAAAAATCAAACATATTTTTAAAGACCGGTTCTTACATTTTGCTGTTTCAATTACAAAAGCATACCAGAAGACGAATACAAACAGGAAATATGTGACTAAGTAGTAAAGTAGTAAAAGGACTAAAGTAAAGAAATTTTCTTAAATTAATTAATTCAACAATTTAGTTAATTTTAAAAGTTAGACCAAGTAAAATGCTACGTAGTTAATAGTCACTATTAATTTTAATATATCCCAAATTTTCCCATCATGCTGACTTTAAGCTCCGACAAATACCAAGAACGTACTATCTTAACTGCTTCTGCTATCATTTTTATAAATTCGATTATTTTGAAAAGATCTAACGTACTTATCTTTTGTGTTCTTTGTCGATGGCTGAAAAATCCCCAATATTTCCAAATGTCTTCCTGTTATACTATCTTTCCGCTGAGAAGAATTTTGACGATTCACGGCCCCATATCTGAGAATTTTCAACGAGCTCTATCGATGATAAGCGCAGATCAATTTCCATATCGCTCAAAGCGCGTTACACAAGGAGACCGGCCCACTTGAGCAGGCGTCCGAAAATCAGATAGCGATGGAGACGTCACTTGATTGGACTCCAGCGGCTATAAAAGCGGCGGGATGAGACCAAGTTGGACATACTTTCCGTAGGTAGCTCCAACATGAAAGTTCTGATTGTCTTCGCTTTGGCTTTGGCCTACGCCTCCGGATCGGCCCTCCGTTCCCTGGACGGACCCGGTGGTCGCATCACCCACGGCGAGGATGCCCGCACCGACCAGTTCCCCTACCAGGTGGGACTCTCCCTGAAGATCGGCTCCTCCTCGGCCTGGTGCGGTGGCTCCCTCATCGGACACGAGTGGGTTCTGACCGCCGCCCACTGCACTGACGGCATTGACTCCGTCGAGGTTTACCTGGGCAGCACCGTTCGCTCCAGCCCCAAGGTTAAGCACCTCGTGACCAAGGACAAGATCATCATCCACGCCGACTGGAACAGCCGCACCCTGAGGAACGACATCTCCCTGATCCGCATCCCGCACGTGGACTACAGCAGCGCCATCCACAACGTGGAGCTGCCCAAGGAGGAGTCCCGCTACGCCACCTACGACAACGATGAGGTCATCGCCTCCGGCTGGGGCCGCACCTCCGACTCCGCCAGCGCCGTGGCCTCCCATCTGCAGTACGCCCACATGAAGGTCATCTCGAACAGCGAGTGCAAGCGCACCTACTACTCCACCATCCGCGACTCGAACATCTGCGTGTCCACTCCCGCCGGCGTGTCCACCTGCAACGGCGACTCCGGTGGCCCTCTGGTTCTGGCCTCCGACAAGGTCCAGGTCGGTCTCACATCCTTCGGATCCTCTGCTGGCTGCGAGAAGGAGTACCCTGCCGTCTTCACCCGCGTCACCAGCTACCTGGGCTGGATCAAGGAGCACACCGGCATCTCTCGTTAAGTTGCTGATGTTTTGATTAAAACTATCTGATTTTTTCGAGCATACAAATCATGCATTTTTGGGTTATTAAATGGGCTAAGCCGAAATTGAGTAAATTGCGAAATTTTTAAAATATAAATAAACAAAACTAGCACCTCTTTGAATAAAAAAAAACAACTTTCGATTTGAATTACTTAACTTTAACCTCTTTTATTGGCATTCATTTTCTTTATGTCGCTTTTCTATCTGACTTCGAAACAGAAATTCCAGTCCAGCTTTCTTTACCATTCTTTGACTTTAAAATTTAATTTTGATTGACTTTTGATCGGTCAATAATCATATTATTATATAGGCCTCCATTTGCAGAGTTTCTCTTTCGCAATAAACATTTGGAATGTGTGTATAATTAACATTTATACAATATACATTGATTGCATTTTTAAGGTTTTAGTTTATAGGCTTCTTTTTTATATATATTTGATGTTTGTCTTTTTATTAAATAGTAAAGAGCGACTTTTACGGACTAACATTATTATTATTACGAATACACATACAATTATACAGAATAGAAAATTTAATTTTTTAAAAATATGCATCCATCAGATTACAAATATTAACTTGCATTTTTTTTTCAATTTTTCGCCGTTAGGTATTTGCTGTGGGCATGTATAGAGGAATAGCGCATAAAAATAACAATTATAAAAAGGTTTCTCTGCATACATACAAGATATACTTTTGACTCTATAGATTTAATAGTTAGTTGGATTCTTCTCATCTCACTTAGTTTGTAAAATGTTCTAAACTTTTTACAATTGTCGGCAATGTAATAAATATATTTATATATAATTTGGACTCTTTGTTAGGTTTTGTGGCTCACCATGCGCAGCTTTATTTGAATCCTTCTCTCATCTGCTTGTATAAGGTGTAAGTGTTGTGTGTGAGTTTTGGCGCCTAGTTAAAATACATACGAAATAACACTAAACTAGCAAAAATGATTATAATACAAAAGCAAACGAACAAATAAGTACACGATCTGCTGGCGGTGCTGCTCCAAGTGGATGCAATGAGGTTGCGGTTGTGCCGCTGATTTCGCTGCTGCTGCTGCTCAAGTCGTTGTTGTTGATCTTGTGGTTCATGTGATGTGTGGAATCGTTGTAGCTGCTCCTCCTCCCGGCGCTGCTGAAACTGTTGCTGCACCTCCAGCCAAAGCCATTCGCTTTCACTCCCGTTGCCGGTGTTATTAATCAACTCCGGCAAATCCTTGACTGCCCTCGATGGCCTTGATCAGTTTGTCCTTCAGCTGCAGGTAGCCTTCGTAGGGCGGCAGGTCCAGGCGGTTAAAACTGTGGATGAATCTCGTTAGCTATGAGTTTTTATTACCCTCAAGGGGGGTGACTCCTACGCAACTCACCAGGTATGTGCCCTTGGAAAGTTATTGGGCGTGCCCCATTTCTCGATGGTAAACATCTGGGGGCCATTGGAGCCGTACAGCTCCTTGAAACCGTTCATTGGCACGCGCGATGTGCCTGTCACAAACTGCAGCAGGCGGGAACGCATCTCGTTGGAGAATGAGAGCACCGCCCGCCAGAACCACTGTATGATTATGTGATTCATGTGATAGTCGCCCTTGTACAGAGTATTCTCGCGCCAGTCCTTCACGTCGATGTTCTGTATGCCGCACATCAGCAGCTCCAGCTCGTGCTCATCGAATATTTTAATAAGATTCAGGGGGATAATCGATCCAAAGCCGTCCAGGAAGGACGACATCTGCTCCTTGACACGTGCCACAAAACGCCATTCAATAACCAGTCTGAAGGGAATATACAGAAGATGCGTTTTAGGCTTTAGAACGACATTTATTCCTTTTCACACTCACTTGATGTATTCATCCTTGTTTTCATTGGTCACGTCTATGTTGGCGCCGCCTGGCTTCAGTTCGTGCTGACTCTTCTGGCCAAGTATGTCCTCATCCAGGCAGAAAGTCAGTTCCAGGATGCGCGGATCGTTCTCCTTGATCCACATTAGCGAGTTGTAGTATTCCGTGTCTACAGACTCCATGTCCTTCAGGTCAATGGGCTTCTGCAGCATCATCTTGTAGAATGGACGAATAAAGAAGGCATCCAGCAGTTTTCCATGATACACAGCCATGCCCGCAATGCGGCCGATGAATCTGTGGGGTTAATCCAACTCTTAGCAAGGAGAATTACTTTAGAAATAGTAAATGCTTACTTGAAGTAACTTAAATGCTCCTCGTTGCACAAACCGCTGCCATTGTTTATCTGCAGCGTATAGTTGTCCATGGCCGAGTACTCAAAGAGCCCATAGTACGGATTGAACATTTCTTTCGATAGTAAATAGAACCATTCCCTAGCAAGGCCTCCGTAATCTGAAATTTAAAGACATGTAAATTTTTTAAAATGTACCTATATTTGTGTGATTTACTCACCTAACCCAGTTTCTCCCTCAAACTCCACCCATAATTTAGTCTTTAGTAAATCGGTCTTGGTTACCGAACTGATAATTCTGTAAGAATCCTCCAGAATCGATGTACGGCGAATACGTATTTCAAATTTATTTGGTACATTGGTCTGGAAACAAAATACATAGTTTGATTATTCTTTTATCAGAAAACTGATCTTGTTAATACTCACAGGCTTTCTAATATGACTCTTGAAATACTCGTATTTCTGCTTGTAATCTCGGGAGTAGGGCACAGCCTGTCCGGCAATGTTTGGATTGGACAAGCGAGGATCCTCCCACTGCGTGGTTCGCGTGTCTGCAAGGGAGGTTTAGTTAGATTGATTGTCAGGGCTAAGAACATAATATAATATAACCCACTATGATCTATATAGAACACGCGTCCATCGGTGTGCACCCGCTCCTCCCAGCCCTCGGGCAAGGGACCTAGGTCGTCCTCGACGCGACGCGTCTGATTTGGCATAGGGCTGGCCCTTCCGTTGCGGGGATCAATCCAGGTAGTCCGCCGGGATGCGTGGTCAATGAAGAACGTCCTGCCGTTAGGGGCTACCTGCATCGACCAGCGCGGTGGCAGGGGTTCCTCCTCGCCACCAGCATTCTGCAAGACAAGATCGCCACACAAAATTAGCCATTTATCCTTATCTTTCACTTTGCAAATATCCTTGGCACATGCAGATAGAATATCTCGAACTCTATTTACGTTTTCGTGTGCATTTAGGATGGGGAAAAATAGAGGGGAATCGACTTTACTTGTTCCATTGGAGGCACAGCCGCGTTGTCTTCCTCGGAATTGCGTCGGGTGGACGGAGCTGAGATGTCGGAGGGATTGTGGCTGTCTGTGTGATCGGTGTCTTCATTCTAGTCATTGGTGGATTGGTGGATTATTTTATTCATAAATGTATACATATGGATGCATTGCATTGCGTAAGGTATTTTTGTTTGTCGGTTTTGGAAGAAACAGAAAAGAAGTGTTGATGAAATTAAAATCGAATTCTCGAATGGCAGATCTTCTAATAACACAAATCAAGCCACACATGCAAACATAGAAAATATTAAAACTAATCGAGTAACTTAGGTTTTAGCTGAAAAACAAAGATTACACAAAGCTGCATGGAAGCAATATGAGTTTAAGTACTAAGAGTCAAGTTTGTTAACATGCTACAGAGATGTTGAGGAGCATTCGGTATGGACTCGGTTTTGCTTACCGCTCCTCCGGCTGAAAACCCCATGCCACGAAACAAACACAGAAATGTGGGATTTTTGCTAACACTGACAGATTTTGAGACGCCAAATAGTTCAAAGTTTCCAACAAGTAAAACGATCGAGAGGAGACAACCAAGTTTTTAGACTACAAGTGCAATGATACGATGGCTGGCTATGTGCTGACCGATGGCTGATGTTGCTGGTGCAACTGAAGTTGCTGGTGTCGTTGCCCCCGATGTTGCAGCTCCGGCTGGCGATGATCCACATCAAGCTACAAGTGAAATGAGTGATGTGGGTGGAGTTGGAATTGGTTCTATTACGTGAGAGATGAGTGTGTGTGTGCTAAGGACTTGCTAACCAATATTCTATTCTGGTGCTGCTGCTGCTGTTGCCGCTGCTGATGCTGCTGGATGTGCAGTTGCATCTGCTGTCGCCGCCGCTGCTGATGTCGTCCCAGACCGTCGGCCATGTTGCCCGCGGCCCGCCGCGTCAAAAGATTGGTTATGGCCACATCCGGCAACTCAGGCGCCTCTCGCACCGGCCGCAGGTCGTTCTGCAAACTGGTCGCCGAGATTTCGGGCGGCCTATGGGCGACAGGATGTCGCAGGGAATTGTAAACAAAACTGAGGTCATGAAAGATAGAGCACAACGGATGGCGATTAAGAAGCTGGCTGCGAAGTGAAGGAGCCTTGGGAGGATCGGGAGGATCTTTTGGGTTCGGACAGAGTACCGACAGAAGGCTGGGTGGGATCGGTTTGGATGGGTGTTGCTAGCGCCAACGCTTAGCAGATGATATTAACCTGGTATGGTCCACAGTTGGGTCCGTCTGTACGCCCTCTTGGCCATGTAACATGGCAAATCCATTGTTGTTTGTTGGTGTGTTGGGTGGTGAGATCGTTGTGGGTGTGGTTGCCTCTGTTGATGGTGTCGTTGCTAAGCCAGCAACATTGTTATTGTCCTCTAAACTATTCCGACTGATGGTGTCCTACGTATATACAGGGATTGGTTAATGGTGGGCCACTAGACGACTAAAACTCTACGGTGCTAACTGGGGGCTTGACAAAAACCTGATGATATGTGGCACAAAGATCTACAGTATGCATCTCGCGATGAGGAACTTAATAAAAAAAAGAGCGTCCAATAGTGATACCATACGACTAACATCTTATCGAGAAACTAGCGATACGCGTAATCGTCAATAAAACTAATCAAACTTTGCCATTACGAATATGCGTTTCAGGTACAAGTTCCTATCGAGTATATCACAAGTGTGCGCGCTTCGGGATGTGGCCGAGGGCTGATCTGGGTCAGGTGTCGGAGGCTGGAGCTCCACATTATTCTGCTCCTGTTCATCGCCATCCTCCTCGGCTTCTTCATTGTCATGCAGCTCGCCGCAGTGCAGACAATTGGCCTGATTATTCTGGAGATCCACCATCTCCTCATCCCCGTTCTCAGCCACATCCCCATCCTCATCCTCATCCTGGCTGCTCTCCTCGCTGGCCAGAGTCTCCATGTGAGTAGCGTTCCTTGACCTCTGTGGCTTGTGGTTTGGTTGTTATTGGGTTAGTCGGTTCGAGTGCGTTTTGTGTGTGCGTTGTGTAATGGGTTTGTGTACGATGTTGAAATTTAAAAGATCATGCACAAATATCAATCAAGTCAATTGCTCATCACACATGCATAATAAATAGTTATAAATATCTGATTATATATATATATATAGAAATTTACAAGTCTTCCCAGTGATAAACCTAAAGTGAGCCCCTCAGGGGTTCCAGAACCAGGCATTTAAACTTACCGCCGAACGTCCTGACTCCGTTTCGTCCACGCTGATGTGAAAACGTCTCTGGAAATCCGAGCCCAGCTGGTCAGTGGACTGGCTACTGTTGCTCGTTAAGCTGCAAGGAGATTACAGTGATTAGTCAGGGAAAAGTATATGCAACTTTATCTCAAAAAGTAAAAGTAAAACAAGGGTGAACGCTAAAGCAGAGTTTCACAACACTAGCACTACCTAAGGGCATAAAATGAACCTCCTTACGTTGGTCAATACTGAAGTTCAAATTTCAGGCGCAATTCTGTTATCGGCCTAACAGTGCAAAGCTATGACGAATAAAATTAAACTTATTTTACCACGGATTTTGTCCAAATATGGCTTGTTTGGTTCGTATGGACGGTAACTTTAAGGTGGCGAACGTCTCGATTAGTGGTCGGATTTTTTTCGGATGCTCTAGAATCTGCATCCCAAATTCCTAGTTTTTATAGTAACCGAGATCTAAGCGTTCATACGGACGGACAGACATACGGACATGGCTAGATCGACTCGACTGGTGATCCTTATTAAGAATATTTATACTTTATAGGGTCGGAAACGCTTCCTTCTACCTGTTAGATACTTTCCGACGAATCGTATACACCCCTGTACTCTACGATACTCGTATAACTAGGTTTAATTAGAAAACAATACTAACACTGTGCAACATTTAAAGAAGTTTGGAGTGTAACTGCATTATGGATTTTAAAAACTGGGAATACTAACTGAAACGAGTAAAACCCGGTTTGGTATTTTTAACTTTTCTACGGGATCTCCTTCGATTCTTTTGTGAACGAATAACTTAAATTTTGACTGTGTTTAACTAATGTAGGCCTTACAAATCAAGTTCTACACCACATCTTTTGGTCGCTATAATATACAAACGCGAGCTAACCCAGAGGAACACCACATGGGGGTTGACTCGTTTCGATTAGTACTCTCAGATTGTGAAATCCACATTGCGGTTACATTTTCTGTGATGCACTGTGTTATTAATGCATATTCTTACAGCGTTTCTGTTCAGATAGACATGATTTTCCCATAAACCCCTAAGAAAATCATGGTAAAGCTCCTCCTGATTCAGAGTCATATTTCGCCCTTCCAACTTACATAGTAGGTCGCTCCCATTGCGTCGTCCTTGCCGTGTGATTCACATAGTACGTGCGCCCATTGGCATCCTGGCGCTCCTCCCAGCCAGCGGGCAGGGCGTCGTGGCCGCCAGTGGGAAAGGGGTGCTGTCGCGGGGGAATGCCACACGATTATTATTTGCATTTCAAAGGTAACAGCAATAATGACACTCACCGGCTGCGACGAGGTCTCGCCGGCATTGGTGGCCTCCACGTGCTCCCACTCGCCGTCGCTGTTGCCGCTGGACGGCTCGCTCTGCTCCCGCGTCTCCCGGATAAAGGCATGGTAGATGCGCAGGGTGCCCTTGATGCGGGATTTGGCGCTGCTGGGTGGAGGGCATGGGGGATAAGGTAAATATTAATGAGCCAACCAAACAGGTGCACAGACACCGCCACAACCGCCAACACCAGGCCCACACAGAAGACACACATATGCACACGACTGTTAAACAATAAGTATTATACTAAGCGTTAACTAAAAATAAACTCAACGGTGAATACACGAATGCAGATACAAGTGGGATACTGTGGATTACGACGCGTTTCACAACTTTAAAACCGCTTTCCCTTCAATAAATGTCAGGAGTGGAGAAATTTGGGCGATAAGAACGGGACTTGTCGAAAGCATTCAACGAATTTAATCAAAAAGATTTGAAATTTTTTATTTCCGGTCTTGAATGAGTCACTTTAATAAATAGAATATGACGAAAAGATTCAAAAGATAATTGTTGTTGTATTGCAATTAGTGAAGTATTTAATTGAAACCGAATTAAAATGTATTATCAGTCACGTAAGTTGTAGTTTTTTATACTATATATATTTTTATACTATGTCTATGTGGTCTTAAAGTTGTGAACAGCAGTTAAAATTAAAAAGCGATTCTATTCTAGTCTAAGGGCAAGTGAGGTGTTCTACTACGATGACGACGAATACGTTTGGAAATTATAATTTCAATTGAAAACTGCACTTGGGCGAAGGGGGCGTGGCGATAAACAATAAACAATAAACAAGGTGAGGTCTAAAAGCAAAACACGTAAACTCTATAGCACTACAACAGAATCTCTACGAGTTGGGGGACGTAAACAAGATCTTAGCTCCTTCACCAATCTCTATTAACAATTCTGCCTTAGTTTGGGTTATAGGAACATATTCTTTGGGCTTGTCTTTGACTTTTATGTTTTTTTTTTGGTACATAACTAGATAGTATGGCTATGTAGTTGTGTGTAAATCAACTGAAATTAAAGAAACAAAATCAAACTGCAAACGATATAAACCTACCCTACTGACCTGCGCGGGCGCAGAGTGTAGCTTTGGTCTCCGATGGTGCGGCCCTCCTGCTCCGTGGGCAAATTCACCAGGGTCAGCTCCACCATGCCCAGAAAGTCGTCGCGTGTCAGGCGATTCTCGTCAAACACTTGAAAGACAAGCTTATGCTCAGACGGTTTAACCTGGTCAATTGGGAGGAAAATAATCAGTTAGGAGATGGTCCAACTACTTAATCGGTTTGCTGGGTACTTACTCTAAATATAAACTCTTCGTTCCAGATTGGATTCAGTGTCTGTGGGGAAAGAAGGGAATCATTAATATTTTTCAAGAAAGTGGCTCTATTATGATGACCATTTTAAGTGAGTTAAACAATGATTTCAAATATGTATAGTAAGTTAGGATTTTACATTGACCTTGTTATGGGAATTCTATTCATATGATAGCTCGTATCTTTGAACCATAATTTCCCTAATGTCCCACTATTATGGCAGTATGGCAGTATTACTTCTTTCCATTAATTTTCCTGTACTTCATAACTGTATTTATACAATTCACGTCCACCACAAAGATAGATAAGCAGTGGTAGAAATAAAAAATTATCAAAAAGGGCATTGATTTTTCTTTTGAAATTATTATCAACACGTTTCTTCTATCTCTTTGAAAAGTAAAACTGCTAGTTTCTCGATTTTCGCAATCAATGCTAACAATTAGTTATCTCAAGGGGTTATCTGCTCTCCGAAACTGTTCGTATACAATAAACATGTCTTTGATCCCGAAAGTAGATATCTAAGCATTAGTCACGATGTTGATAAGCATTGTGTGGTTTACATTTCTAATCGCACTATCAAGGCCAAGTGGTCTTCCCCTAGACTCTGTTGCACCTTCCGTTCAGTAGTGTGGCAAGTTCTTCCAAGCATAATCGATAAGATAAACTCCGGCAAAGTTGCCCTTGTCAGCCAAGTTTAGACGGGTTAATACTTTCAGGGATTTTATTATGCTCACCTTCTTTTTGGTCTTTGTCAAAACAGAGTCAATATTTATATCACCGTTGATTGTGTTCAAATCGATTCTGACATACGGATCGCTGCGGACGAGAGAATTCATTTTAATTATCCACATTCATAATTGGCTTAATTAGCAGCTGATTCACTCACCTGGCGCCGAATATATCCTTTTTGGCCAGCGACTGGCCGCTGAGCACAACGATTCGCAGGTGACACGAGTCGCCAGAGTCGTTCTGAAAAGGGGGAAAAATAAAAAGAGAAAACAGGAAAATTAGTACAAACAGTCGACACACAAATGAGACACTTGTGCACGCATCGCTGGGGAAAAACAGCGGACGGGAATTCAATGCCGCAGAGGAGCCAGCTGGGTCGCATCGAAAATAAATAAGCCACAAGGCATGGCCACGCGGCGTATGCGTAATCACGGGCATTAAGCATACGCAGCGTGGTCCTGCCTGGATGAAAATTCATGCACTTTACGACCGACACTCCGCTCGCACAAAAGCCCCTCGTAAATGCTCTCTGAAGGATCTGCATTATACATTCGCGTGCATAATTGTTTTTTGGTTCGCGGCTAGATAATTTCCACGACCTTGACACAAGCACTGCCACAGAACAAAAAGAAAAAAACAGAGGCCTGGAAGTTCAAGAGAGTCATCAAGCAATTGTCTAGTGCAGAGAATGCGGCCCAAACTTGAGCTAAATTGCGTGTTGTGATTCACTTCGGGCCCCGGGGCTCTGGGGTCTAGAAATGCGGTTGCGGCCCAGTTTGCAGTTGGCATTCCTCGTTGAAATGCGAAACACAATTTTAGGCATCTCTCTAAAATACATTTTCCCATCTAAATGTACTTTGTGGCCAAATTAAAGCGGCTTAGGGGTTCAGAATTGGGTTAATTGAGCGAGAGCTTGTTGTCTGACCTCAAAGTTGAAAGGCTTTTCATGTCATAAATCTAGGGAATTAATATGGGTTTTAAATGAACGTTGATTTATTTATTATGCCAGATTTTAATGGGAGAACTGTGATAAAAATGTTAAAGGAAAAACAGTTTGGAATACGAAATTTAATGGTGGAAATTTACATTGAAATAGTTCGGAATACGAAATTTAACGCTTGTGACTTATTTGAAGGTGGGAATTTCTGAATATTAAATTGATCGCCCTTTAATTTAACGGAATTTAAATTTAAGGCCCTATTAAAAGGTTGGAATTTATATTGAGAAGATTTTTAGAAGAATTTGTTCTTGACTATTTTCGACTCAGAGATTTCTCTTTGTATTTAAATTTTCCAATAGCCTTTTTCCTTCTTGTAGCCTCCTACCAATCCGATTTAAAATTTCAATTAGTCAGAGCTTACAGCCAGGCCATTTTTGCCAATTTTTTTGTCGTCCCGAGAGCTAACAACACAACAAGAAAAAGCAACACCTACAGCCCAAGACACCCCAATCACCACCCATTATGTGGGATCAGTGGAGCAACAAACTTTCTGCATTCCTAGAAGTTAAGCCAACCCCATTTTATCTACTCATCTCGGCTGAGAGCTAGCACTTGTATCCATTAAGAGGCTTTCCCCTGAAATATTCAATTTGCCGACATTGTTTATAAAGTTAAGAGCAAATCCAAGTCCCCCGCTGCCCCATTCCTTGGTGGCTGACCAGACGGCGCCATATCTATATCTATATCTCTATCCGACCCCCCTTGTATCAGATATCAGAGGCTCGCATGTTGCGGCTTGTTGGCCGCCCGATGACCCTGACTAGGTTGGTTTTAGACCCCATATTACATGTGCCATTTCGTACACGCTCTGGGGAACTATTCCATTCTGGTTCTGTTTTCGTTCCGTTTTAGTGACTGGTTGTATTTTTATTTATGCGCTGCCAGTTCCGCATTTTCCATGAACTTGTACTATTGATTTTCACCGCGTGGGGCTGGCTCTTTAAAATAGCTGCGGCTTTTCCCACTTGTGCAATAATTAAACGTGCACTTAAAAAAAATTGGGCGGGAGAAAAAAATTTAATTTTAAATTGTTGTAAAGATAGGTAAGATTTTAAGTACTTAGTGGTTATAAGTAGTAAATTAAAATCAATTATTTTTGTATCAACATATAGTAGTATTGATACAAATGGTTACAATTGGTATATCGATATTTACTTAATGAATTTATCAAGTTGACATTAAGTCTCAATATCGATGCTAAGCCCATACTCCACTTACAATTATTTGTTTAAATGCCATCTGTTTAAAAATAGATACTATTACTGGCTGTGTACGAGTAGACATTCCAGCTGTCCCTACATGCTAATACTATATAACTATTAATACTATAAAGCTCTCGTTTTATCGACGATGAGCGAAGTGAAGCTAAAGCGCAATACAAATGCCAGATGCCCCGTTGTCGGGACTCGATTATCGCCCGGACAAGGGGTCCCATCAGTCAGCCTAAGCTGGTGACCCTGGAGTCGAGTAATCCCCAAGGTCTTTCCAGGATCCTTTCGCATGCCTTCGATGCCCCTGCAGCTGTCACAGTTCCCTTGCCTGCCTCAAAGACTCTGACAGAGCCACGTCGGTGCTGGCATTAAATTGATTTTTAGCCACTAAATCTGGGACCGAGGGAAATTAGCTTAAAACTGTTCTTGCGGTTTAAGCCTGTTTGGCACTGGATTGACAGGGGGAGTGGAGAGATTGTGGGGCATGACAGGAAAAGCGTTAATTAAAAGGGATGTCCGACGTAATGATCCACATTGCGATGCAATGACATCTCATCTTCTTTGATTGACTGGATTGATACAGTGGAACTTCTCTCAATAAAACAGCGAAACTGGCTTTCAAACTTAAGCTTATTACCATTTAAAGTGTACATATATTAAAAAGGTTAAGAAAAATTGACGCATAATATCTTTAACTATCGAAAGAAAATAGCACCTTTTTTTATTGAACTGTTTTTTTTAGTTATCTAAGACCAACCGATCGCAAGTTTTTATAACTATCCCTTTTTATTCAAAGGAATCTTAACAAATTAAAAAACACATAAACTACGTACTGTTTGTAAAGCACATAGCATATATTAAATATCCTTATTTGTAATGCGTGTGTAGGTAAAATAGCTTTATAGATAAACATTGTTTATTATTAACAAATGCACCAATCACAAATCCCACTGATACGATTTCGATTTTCTTGGCTACTGAAAAGCTGAAATCGCAGCCGAATTCGGTTATCAATAGGCACAAAGCCAAACGCTCATTATCGGAGTTGGCAAGGCGTTGACTTTTGCCATTTGGATGACCATGTGACACACAACCAGCCTGGCGCCCCTCCTCCGCTTCCTTGCCATCAATCCAATCGCCCACTTTTCCCTCCTCCCCAAAGTATTTCACATTCCCCATAGTTTTCCTCCACTTTTATTTCCGTGCCAACTGAATGAATAATGAATTATAAAAATATATATGTGAATAGTCATTCAGTTGTGCGCTGATAAGCAAAGGCCAGAGAGAGAGAGGAAATGTTGGTAGCAAAAAGAAGTCAAGGCGCTCGACGGAAGCCCATTTCTGTTGCTCTTAACGTTTCATCTGCTGTTCAAACAGACGGCTTAAACGGAATGCTGATGGGAGATAATAAATACCAGTGAGCAGCGAAATTAAACAAGCTTGAATATCAATTGTTGTTTTTAATGCACGCGAAAAGCAGTAGCACAAAAATCCTACAAGCCAAAAAGAAGTGTGGCCTATAGCTATGGTCGGTGCCATTAACCTAATTGATTGGTTACTACCTCCCACTTGTCCGCATTGTCCAGGGGTCAATGCAAATTCATTACACAAATTGACATTCTGCCATGCATCTGCGTTGGATGATGGATACTTCGACAGTTTACAAGATAAAAGCTTGAAACATCTAGGGGGTTTGTGAGTGCCACAAAAACTATCTGATGAATTAATTTTAGAACAAAACCAGAAAAAACTGACTACAAGGCGAACATAGGTAAATTATTCAATTAATAAGGAATAGCCTAGGTATATGTACGTTGAATACCCTTAAAGCTATAAATATATTGTTCAAATGCGACGATGATATATCGCAATGACGTTCATAAGTACAGAAATAAGCTTCCGTTATCGGACAGATAAATTCCGCATTAATTTAATGAAAATATTGTATTTCTTTTGTTTTTAACGGATTCCGAGAAAATAATTTGTGAAAACAAATTAGACAATCTATTAAGAGGTCAACAGAACCACTGTGTGATTGATCGTAAATATTTCTAGATGCAATTTCATTTAAGAATGTGAACTTGTGTAGAGTACATCTACTAATAATAACACTTGGGGATTCCGATTCTCTGATCATTATTATAAATAATGAAAATCCTATTTCATTAATACATTTATAAATTGTACATAGTAGATACTCTGCATATAGTAGATACTCTGGTATAATTTTCATTTAACTAATTATCCTTCCAAATAAATACCCACGGTTGATTTATTAAACATTTTGACCAAAAAACTAATTTGTCACAAGTTTAAGTCGTATCTACTACCAATATTTTGACTTGGAAAAGTCCAAAAGACTGGGAAACTTGGCCTTAAAATTAGCATTACCCGTTTTCCGATCAAATCTGTTACTGTGAAATATTTCATCCGTAAAATCTCAATAACCGGGAGGCCTTGGCCGGAAAATCTCAAGAGATATGGGAATGTGGAAAGGAGGATGGACGGAGGGGCAAGATGGGATCGGATGAGATAGGATGGGGTGGGATGGGGAGGGCGACACGTGAGGCACATCAAAGGCGGCTCAATTAGCGGCCGAAGAAAATGAGCACACTCACACACACACACAGACACACACGGAGGCTCGAACATTTGCATATGTACCATTTTCACGTACTGGCGAGAGAGAGAGCGGCAGAGAGAGGCGCTGCTGCTCTCGCCAGTTACTTACATCACTGTTATTGCAGCCATGGATTTGGCCATCTTCGCTCGTCACCGATGGCGATGTGGTTGTTGACTCGGCCATTTTTGTTTCGATGTGGATTTGGATTGAGTCTACTTTTTTTTTATTCACCGCCGACTTTTCTCCTCTGTTTACGTTTGGTGTTTGTGTTAATTTTCGTACACGCCCCGCAAACTAAATTGAACAATAAATTGCGAGGTTATAAAAAGAAATAAAGGCATGGAAATATTTGCCGCTTTTGGCGGTTTTAACTGCACAAAACGGGTTGGCCAAAAGGAATTTCCTCTATTCTTGCAGCCTTTTTTTGCGTTCTTTTTGTTCGATTTTCACTTTTTGGCGCACACAAGATTTATTTTGGTATCTCAACGAGCTTTTTTGCTTTTTGTTAAGCTGCAAGCTGCATACGGCGACAAAAAAGGGAACAGGTTTCACAACAACTGCCGTTTTGTTTTTATTATGCTTATTGCGTATACGTAATGTTGGTTAGGGCCAAAAGGGGCAGGGCACAGTCAGTCTTCACATTCCCATTCCGAATCACCAAACATTTCCTTTTTTTTGGCAAGAATGACTAATAGGGGCGTTCGAATAAGGCGAGAGAAATGAGAATTGTAGGATTTTCTGATTTCGATTTCAAGATTTCTCGCTTTTTGCCGAGCACGAACTGTTGCTTTCCGATACGTACGCTTATTTACCCTTTTTTTATATAATTAACACATTTCAGGGGTACGGTGCAATAAATTTATCTATGTATATAATCCACCGCTGAGTGTGTGTTTGTACCCTCTATATTTATAATTCAATTATTCACTTATTTATCTTTTATTAACGGCCCTAAGCGATGGAAACAATAACAACAATAACAAACGGCACACCAACACTATTGCGAAAACATGTTCTGCGTAAATGTCTGCCTCTCTCGCTCGCTCCCGCAGCGAGTGTGTGTGCGGTTGTGAGTGCGAGCGGAACAGCAACAGCAACACTTGTCGGCGGCCGCGGCGCGAAACACGGAACTTGGCGCTTTCGCGTTCTAAGCTAAAATGAAGGCAGCTCCGCCGAATAGTGGGGCCAGCGCTTACGGCCCCAAAAAAGCTTTCACCGCGCTTAGTGTGACCGGAGGTTCGACCCGGACCTTGAAGAACGGGTTAGACTCCACTGTTAAGTACGTTAAATAGTCACTTCGTATAAAATATTTATTTTAAATAGTTATACAACTTTTGTTTAAAATATTTTTGATAGAGGTCATATTTTGCCAGATAATAAAAACCAAATTAAATAAAGGTTTGTAACTTCTAAAAAACTGATTTAAAAAAAAAAAAAATTCAAACTGGATTGTTTTCGAGTTTCTCTTTCAATATTAACATTTTATACCGATATACTTAGGTGAAATACACATTATATGTTAAGTGACTTTTTTAAGTAAAGTAAATATTCCATTTGTACAAAAGAGAATTGGATTTAAAAAATAATTTTAATTACCTTTTTAAAAAAAAAAAACAAAAAAAACATTTAAATATAAAAATACCAAAACCAAATCTATGAACACACTTTTCAACACTGAGCCGCAAGCTTTCAGCTGGTGGTCAAAAGCTTTTTAAAATGACAGCGCGGCTGCACTCTCTTTTCTACCTTTTACTCTCTCACTCTACCTGTCTCACTCCCACCGTTGACAGCTGCCATCGAACAAGTGTCCAAAAGCAAAACAAAACAAAAACAGCTGATAGGCTGCGGCGTGAGTTGGTGTGGGTGGTAGCATATAAGTGTGCGTGAGTATCTGAGTAGCGGCTGCAATTTGTATCTGTGTGGCTGTAATAAAAATTGGGAATCCCCATTAACATGAACATGTTTCTGCTAAGTAGCGCATAATCAATTATAATTGACATTTGACTGCCGGCGCTGCTGACGTAATGGAGCCAATTGAAACTATCCGCCTTTAATTGACCAGCTGTTGACTGATAAGCGGTCCATTAAGGCAATCCGCTAAGCAAACTGTGACGTTGAGCGGTTTGACAAGTGCGTCGATTGGGCGACGTCACCGCTTGCCGGTTGACGTGCGAATTGGATTAAATAACCCAAATAACTGAGCTCAATTAGCGGGGGCATCCAACTTTGCCGAACTAATGAAGACAAACGCGACAAACACCATCCCCTCTTGTTTGGCCAGGAATTTCTAACCTTTCTGAAAAAGCTTAAATAAGTTAGGCAAACAGAATCGGGACTCCGTCAAATTAGCGCTCATTGAAAAAAAAATTAACTGGGACCAGAGTTTAATAATAGAATTTTCTTTTCCTAAAAATATGACTAATATAATTATAAAATTGAAAACAAATACAAAAAATATTTAAGATCTCAGTCAGTAATTTTAAATCAAGTTCTTTATAAAATTGTTTGTTTAATTATGTGCTTTTAAATTATATTTTAATAAAGTTTTACATAAACTTGGAAAAGGTTATTGAATTTTAGTTGTATAGGGTAAGCATTTAGAGTTTTCTTCCCGTGTAGCAAAGCCCAGACATTTTGCGCACACAACATTCAAAAGGCGGCGGCCAAGAATCGTGTTGATAAATTAAATTAGCTCCGAAGATGCCGATGACTGCTCAAGTGGCTCGCATCTTTTGGCAAATTAAGATAAATAAATTACTTTCCGTTCAGTCTGAGATGCCGAGCGAATAATTTGTTTACACAAGTGAGCCAAACAATAAAAGCACATTCCAGACACTAAATAAACATTACTTGCTGCCGATTCATGTTCTGACCGCTGTTTATGGAGCACTTTTCGGTGCTGAAAAAGTGCAAGGGATGCTTAGAGAAATTTATACAATTTAAAACACTGTCTGGAATGTAAAAGAACCTTTTTTGAGTATAAGATAACATTTAGTAGACTTGACTAAATGGAATCAGCACCTTTTGGGACCACTTTTTATCGGAGTTTTAGACACCATAACTTTATCAATAAGTCAAGGAACATCTTTAAATATGATCGATTTCTCTACATTTAAGAAATTTTTTAATCGACGATATTTATTATCCCTTTCTTTCTTTAAAGTGGGAAAGATAAGAGACGACTTTTTGTAAATTATACCTTTAAATATTTCGGCTAAGTACCAGCAATGAATTAAGTAGTTAAGGAGTTAAGATTTCATGGATTTCCCCATTTAAAGCAATTGTGGATACCCCATTTTATCACCATGAACGGGTTGGAATCTCCAGGGCCCATCTACACGACTCAGCTGTTTGGCAAGCTGCAGATTAGATTAACAGTGAAAACACCGTAAAAATAGAAATACCAAATAAAACAGAGGCATTGATAAGGACAACCTAATCCCCCCAAGCACCACTCCATGATGAATTCGTGTTGTATTTGTCACACAGAAAATTATTTTGGATACCATTCTTGGGATTTTTAAGATCCTTCTAAATGGATATTACCAATTTACAACATAAAAACAATATGGATTGGCTCTGAATAGATTGTATTTAATGAAGTAATTTGTTGATATTTTTTATCATTTATCACCCTATGAATTGGTAGCGAAGAACTGTGATGATAGTTTAGCTCATAAAATATGTGAGATGTCCAATGCCATAACAAACATTTGACTTTAAAGTAGCGGGTAATGCCTTAACTAAAGATTTTCCATCTATTAAGTAGTTATATAGGATTCTGGACTCTCATATTTTTTGGTTGTAAGGACATATAAAAATTGAAACCCCATGAAATTAGCAGGGAAATACCTAACTTTACTAATTTCAGTCAACCGTCAAATGCAGATAACAAAATATATAAGAAATCTCATATTATTTGTTTAAGATTACGACCACCTTTACATGATAGCTGATGGTACACCATGGTGGAAGATGTTAGGCATATGAAGTAGCCAGGTGTGGTGGAAAGTCAAGATTTATAATTTTTTTGAGTGCACTTCATTTTGGGGGTCACTTGCACTTATGTAAACTTACCACTGCTGCCAACGATCGACGTGGCGTGTGTCCGTTGCCGAATTCCTGGCGCGATTGCTGTTGTCCTGCAACAGAGGCGGCCCTCCTGCGGGGCGGGGGGCGTGGCACGTCGCCGCCGCCCGCCGAGGAAGAGGAAGACGAGGGGGCGGGAATGACCGAAGCGGCCACACAGCCGCTGGAACGTGCCGACATTGTTGTGTTGTTGTTATTATTCTTTAAGAAGCTTCTGCAAAGAGAGAGGGGAGAATGTGTAAAGCGGAAGTGCAAATTAAGCGAGAAAAAGACACGAATGGAGAAAGAGAAGAAAGAGGCTGCGACAAGGTGACAAGGGGAAGATAAGGAGGGAGAAGGGAATGGAGGAGAAGAGAAGAAAAGAAAAGCGAGCAGACAACAAAGACGGCAAACAAAGTGCACAACGGTACTTGTGCTAGATGCCATCTCTGTCTGCCGCCCTGCCCCCGCTTGTGTGTGCGTGTGTGTTAGTGCGGGAAGGTGTGGGTGAGAGAGCACAAAAGCCAAACATTTTCCTTGATAATTAGCCAAGCGCGAAGAGTTCAACGCCATGTCTTCGTTCCCCGTTTATGGTTAGCATAAAGTTTCGACCAAGTTTTCCACTTACGTTCACACACACCCACGGCCGGGGCACTATAATTTCGCCCGATTTATGTATATATTTTGCGCTGGTATGCGTGTGGGTTCGCCTTTATCCACTATTTGCGGAAAATCATCACGTACTTTTCACACGGCGAATTATGCACTGCACTATATCAGCGGTTTATCACTCGGACCGCTGCAGCGGCTCACATGCCTTGGTCGCCGAAATCGGTCGGCTATAGTGGCCTATATGTGTGTCGCACGCGAGGTAGAAAATAAAAATTAAACACCGGACAGGAAAAACACACGAAACGAAACGCGAAACGGGTTCTCTCTCTTAGAATGTAGACGTTAGAGATGCGAAGGCCGTGGGGTGACCGTGTTCCAAGTTAAGCTGTACGGCGTACGGCCACATTTTCACATACCGATGGTATCGGCAGCCCTAGCACATCTCAATTTGGTGGATCCCCGGTGCGCTCCTGGGCCAGTGCACGTATTGGCGTAAGTGGACTCCGTCGGTTCAAGCTTGTTGAGGGTCTCGACGCAGAGATCGCAGAGCGCAGTACAGTGAACAGATGGCCCGTAGGAATGGGATCGCGCCTGTGAAGTCACAACTGCAACCTGCAACCTTAGTGCTGGAAATACTCACCTAGGGCTTGGCTGCTGGAAAGTTAAGAGTTGTATTATGGTGTGTCGCGCCAGTTCGTTGCGGCGGGCAGCTTGCCGATACTTTACGCGATATTTCACGCGGCAGCCGACCGCCGATCTCCAGCCGGCAGCGAACTTCGCGGAGGCAGGAAAAAAAAATACCGAAAAAATACCGCGCCGCCGGCAGAAAAAATATCGATAAATAGTCTTTATTAGTGTGGTGAGTTATCTGAAGCAAATTGAGCCGCGGAGCAAAGTGAAAATAAAATGTAGTGCTTAACGTATTCGGTAAAAATAAATGAATTATTTTTTTAATTACTAATTTCTGAGTGTTGTATTAAGCTCCAATAAATTCCTCAAATTATATTTATTTAGAATGCCAAATATTACTCCACCTGGCATCTTTACAGTTAAATGTAATGCCTTTTGAAGGTTACAAAAAAGCTTTTCCAGCTTAGTTTAAATAATTGCTTATGCAAATAAAAAACGTTTTCATACAACATCAACATTTTTATTTAATTTTTGCTCTTACCACTTGTGAATAAATGAATTTGCCACGCAGCGAGTTCGGTATTTGCTTGGTATTTTCCCACCACAGACGAACGGCCATACGCAAGCAGTGAAAAAAAAGTCGAGAAATCTAATAAGTTTTAGCCCAAAAGTGTTGCAATTGCTGGTGCATTTAGCAATTTAAAGAGACAGAATTCCAAAACCTCCGACCACAGAGCCAGAAAACCAAAAAACAACAGACATTTAGCCACCAAAACACTTGAAATCAACGGCTGTGCAGCAGCAGGAAGAAGAGGAAGAGAGGTGCGTGGTGCGTAGTTAGTGCGAAATTGCGTATTAGGAAGGAAAACAACAACAAGCGGGGCTGCGAGAGCCAGCAAACATTTCGATTCGAGGAAAACAAAAATATTAGCCAGCGACGAACAAACCAACCAATCCAACGCAGTGTCGCTTCCGCATCCGCAGAGTGAATACCGAAAACTGGTTACATGGGTCCGACGGATCAAGACTGGATCGGCTGTGCGGTGTCTATAGCCTGCGACGAGGTCCTGGGCGTCTTTCAGGGCCTGATCAAGCAGATCTCCGCCGAGGAGATCACCATCGTGAGGGCCTTCCGGAATGGCGTGCCGCTGCGCAAGCAGAACGCCGAGGTGGTCCTCAAGTGCACGGACATCCGCAGCATCGATCTCATCGAGCCCGTGAAGCAGGATGTGGATGGCCACACGGCTCCGCCCCCGGTGCTTAACAAGCCCACGCCCGTCAAGCTGCCCCACTTCTCCAACATCCTGGGCAAGCAGCAGCAGCTCCAACTCCAGCAGCAGCAACAACAGAAGCAGCAGTACCAGGAGCAGGATCAGGAAGAGGATCTGCCGACGACCCCGCGGTCGAGGGCCAACGGCCATGGACGACCAGCAGCAGGGGGAGCAGCGCCAGTCGCATCGGGCTCTTCGGGGTCACGTGGCAACTTTAACTCGGCGCTCAGCGATAAGATGCACCAGCTGAAGCTCATCGAGACAAATGGCTCCAATGGCACCCGAAGGTATATTGGTTCTTTAAGTGATTGGTATAAATGGTAGCCTTTATTCAATGGGACCTAGATGTTGGGATACCTGAAGGATTTTAATTTTAATTTAGCGATAAAAATGAAATCTCATCGACGCCAGCACTAACACTATAGAATTATTGGTTTACTCTGGGGAGCATTTGAATATTGTACAATCCTATGTTGATAAAATAATCCACGAAGTAAGGCTCGCTGCTAAAAATATATTTAGTAATAAGTAACAAGTTCTTTAAGACTTGATTTTATAGCTCGATTAGGTAGTATGTATGATATTTGTCAAGTATTATATTTTACCCTTCAATTCAACCCTTATCCTTCTTTCACCACCTAGAACACCGCAGACATCTCGTGCGCCCAGTGCCCAGCAGCAGCCGCAGATGTCGACTACTCCGAACAGTGTGGCCGCCTTCTTTGGCAACATGATACCGCCGAAGGTGGAGGTGAAGATGGGCGCCTACGTGAGCAACACGCGGGAAAGCTACTGCAGCAGTAGCGGAGACAGCGGCGAGGCGACCGGGTTGTCTTTGGGCAGCAGCAGGCCCATAGATATCGTTGGCAATGGAGACGGCTTCTACAAGCAGACGGCAGCATCCAGCTACGGAAATGCCAACGGCAATGGCGGGAGGAACAGCAAAGCGAACAACAATGGAAATGGCAACGGAAACGGCTCTTACACCAATGCTAATGGTAACGGCAATGGCAATGGAAAGAACAAGCGGAACCGAGTGCGACGGGAGAGCAGCATGCGGCAGCAGCAGGTGCTGCAGACCTTTGGCAGCGAGGCGGACGATCCACTGATCCACGAGGATTTCGATTTCGAGGGCAATCTGGCGCTGTTCGACAAGCAGGCTATTTGGGACGACATTGAGTCGACGCACCAGAAGCCAGACGTTGTGCGGCACATTGTAAACAATCATCATCAGCCGGAGCAGAAGTATCGGCACGACGAGAACATCTTGGCCAGTAAGCCGCTGCAGCTGCGCCAGATCGAGAGCATGTTCGATGGCAGCAAGGACTTCGTGACGGACGACGGTCTTATCATACCCACGATTCCGGCTTACGTGCGGAATAAAATCGAGATGAGTGCCGAGAAGGCGGGCCTCTCGCTCCAGAGGCAGATCGATATATTGGCGCGCGGGGCCAGTGACCTGGCCATCACACTGTTGGGCGGTGCCAGACGTTTGACGCCGGCCAACAATCATCAGTGGCCGAAAATAGCCATCATCTGCGATGGCGTGAAGAACATGAGGTTAGTTGGATTTGTCAACGACTTCAAGGATGAGACTATAATTAAAACTAAATCCTTGCAGAACTATTAACGTTGGAGCAGCCACGGGTCGCCAGCTGGCATCCCATGGCCTCACTGTACTCCTGTACGTGGAGCAGGCCAAACTGGTGGAGCAGAACAGCAGCAGCGCAGAGATTTCCTTGTTCAAGGCAACTGACAATGTCATAGTTCACTCAGTAGACGGTAAGTAAGCCAGTAATTATATAAAAGGATTAATCCAAGTCTAATCTTTAACTATCCTACAGCCTTGCCCACGCCAGATCTTGTGATATTATCGACTAACACCGCTAATTTATCGGATACGATCAGGAAATGGCTCAGTGTGAATCGGTTAGTGGGAAAAATATAAATTATAACAGCTCCTTAACGTTCTCTTCTGTATTAGCGCTTCGGTGCTGGCCGTAGATCCACCGCCGTGTGGCATTAATGAGGTGGCTATCAAGTATTCAATACTACCCATACTACCATTGAATGGCATATCAACAGCAACAGCATCATCATCCTCTTCGGCTGCCGCCACACCAACGCCCATTGCTAGCACTTCGGCAGCAGCAGCGGCTAACAAATCAGTCGCAGCAGCATCAACGAACAATTGTGGCAAATTGTATTTATGTAATCTAGGTATACCGGATAAATTCTATCGTGATTGTGGCATTAAGTACAAAAGTCCGTATGGACATAAATATGTGATACCGATTCACTCAAAGGACTGAAACATTGACAACAAAAACAAAAACACAAACACCAACATTTACAACAGCAATCAAACTGCAGCATCAGCAATACCAGCAAACAAATACCATTAAAACAACAAAAAACAAGCACACACAACAAAAACAATAACAATGACACACCCGCACACTTGTGATGATCATCAAGTCCAGTTTCCTGTGAATCTAGCTCTTAGTAGTCTTCTCTCATATATTACTCAAGTTAAACATTTTGTTCTACGGCGCGTACACATATAGTTTTTAGGTTAGTTCATGCATCAGCCCTTAATATAGGCCTAGTTATTATATCTATTTCTGAATTAATTCAAAGCTGCCCCGGCCAAATGCCAAACTATGATTAGTTTTCAAATTGTACCCTATAGATTATTTTTTCATTATTGATAGCCCTCGGTTCTGAAAGCTAGTCCGCATTTACAAGTTTCTAAAGCTTTATTTTAGGCGCACGTTTTAAGAAATTTTCCAAACATTCAACCCAAATTTGAGAACCCCATCAGAATAATTGAACAGATGCTATGGCCTTAATTTGTTTCGTATTCCCTGTCCTTCCCGCAAGTGGTCTTCATAAACGTAATCAACAAATCAGGCGATAAATTGTTTGTAAATAACTATACAATTCTATGGGGAAAGATAAGATCATGTTAATTATTATCAAGTATGCGCAATAAATGCCAAATTCAATGTCTAATTTTAAGCATAAAATCAACAGCAAAAGCAACAACTATTGTACCATGTAATACGGAACACAAATCCAAGTATAAATCAAATCAGATAGTTAAGTTAGTTTCGTAAGCATAAAGTGTTTAAACGTTTAACAAACCATAACAAACAAAGCAACAATGATAAAATGAGGAACACTTTATATTATATATAGACGTATTTAAGATGTGTCTTTAAGCATAACTAAACAAAGTCGAGAGCATAATTTTTTACCCATCGAATACTAAAGAGAAACCACAACACAATACTTATACTCTAAACTGTAGAACGATGAATTTTATATAAGATTAAATCCAATCTAATAGTGCAAAATTTTAGAAGGTTGCAACTCAGCAAGGCAACCAAAAACTCAAAACCAACAACCCAAATTAAAACTACTTGTTGTATAAAT